AATTGTTTTTGGCAAATATCGCATGTGAATGGTTTGGATCCTTCGTGACTTCTCAAATGTCTGTCGAGGTTACTGGACTCAGCAAAGGATTTCTCGCAGTTACAACATTTATACGGCTTGATTCCGTTATGGGTACGCATATGTACTGCAAGGTTAGACCGATAACGAAATGATTTTTTACATTCCGTACAAATAAATGGTCGTGCTCCTGAATGAGTTCGAGCATGTGCTGCTAGGTGCGCCTTCTCACGAAATGTCTTCTCACAAACATCACATGGGTGCGGTTTGTCTGCTGTGTGGACTCGCAGATGTCGCTCTAAATAACTGTATTTTGAAAATGATTTTTCACAATTCAAACATTTATAAGGTCGTTCAGTGTTATGCAGCTTCATATGAACTGTTAAGCTGCCTTTGTATTTCATTTTTGCTCCACATTCTTTACAGGAATAAGGTCTACAACCATTATGCCATTTTATATGAAGATCAAGATGTTCTTGTTGCTCAAAAGATTTAGTACACAACGTACATTTAAAGGCACCAGAATCTTCATTTGTCGACATGTTTACTATTGAAAAGCAAAAATGGACAGGACAGTTTACTAAGTAGTAGTGCGGTTGATAATAAAAAACCTGTTGCTTAGTCAATAAGCAGATTGTAATTGTCGTTGTTGTCCCAATTGTTGACATGTCTGAAACAAGTTGTAACAAGGTTGATAAGGTCAACAGACTCGCAACAAGTTGTTCCAACAAGTCTGATGACAACAAGCTCGTGCCAGTCTGTTACTGTCATCAACCAAAGTGATAATAACAACTTGTTGCTGACTAATTGTCTCAACAACTGGGAACAAACAGTGCAAACACATCCTGATTGAGTCATTGTCCAAAAATACATTGTCTTTACTATGCACAAATTGCATTGATAAACATGAACAAAAAGATTAACAAAAACTTTGGCCAAGCCAAGTTTCCAGAATCCAGACCACAATTTGACTTCTGGCAATTTACTACTGTCTTCTGTGAAATAATACTGTACAATATCTCAGTTATGGTGACAGCACCATGGTAGATTCTTTGTGCAAAAGTTTGAAGACCTCTGACACAGGCATGCAGGGCTGATGCTTTCCAGGGGGAGGGGGGGGGGCAGTTGAAAGCTTGCCCGAATTTTATGTAGGACTGTAATGAAATTACCTGAATTTAACCTATTTTCTGATAAATCTGCCTGAATTTTCTTGATTTTTCCAGCATTTGTCTGAATTTCCATGGTTTTCCAAAATTTTGGGGGGTGCCCCCCCCGCTGCCTCATACACCTATGACCTCTGATGCACAGTTAAGAGTACGGCTAGTCAGTTTATATGTGCTTTTAGTATGTTTAAATTAAGCAATCAATTCATTTTGTAAGAACATTAAGGTAAGAGTATCTCATGTCATCATCTGGCTAGAGTGTAGTTTAGCAGACCTCAACAGTTTAATTTTTGAGGTTAGGATTTGAGTTGGGGTACTAGGCCATATATGTGAACTTCAGTTCACACAAGAAGATAGTTACAACACATGAGCTCATGGGTACATTATTGATGCAGGGTCTGCTAAACTGCTCTTGCTTACCCGCACCATGCATTTTTGTGTTTGGAGGTGTGATTATTCATGGTGTGTTATCAGACAGCTAAACTTGCTATGCACACAAATGATATTCTGTGGGTATTTTTCAAGCAGATGTGCACATTTTTTGCAAATTGGACTCATGTACGGTCATGTACCAGTACACAATTTGATCATTCAAGAAAGAAATTAATTTCTTTAAGAATTGAAGTTGTGTGCACTTTTTACACACACAAATACTGACTCGTCACCAGTTGTCTCTGTGTTAATAAATTTTCAAGCTCAGGCGGAAGCTGCCCTTGCTACATTTCCTGTTTCCACCCACGCGTGAAAATTTATTAACACAGAGATAACTGGGGATGAGTCAGACACAAATACCCATATTTTGCACCCACATTTTGCTTGTGTACTTGCCTTAAACACTGCAATGCTTCTACCTTTTGTTACCGACATAGCTGAAAGGACTGCAGATTTGCTATACAGAGCATTTTTTTCATCCAAATGCATTGACTCTGTGTCGGAAAGTGCAGTAATGGCATTCCCAAGCCTCAATTAAATTGTGGAACTGAAGCTAGCTTCCAGTCTGGAAACTGGAAAGTTAACTTTTTGCATGCGATCGTTTCAGGCACATGTGAATGTATGCCAATTTTGGAAATATAAATGCACAAAAGTTTCAACATAATAGCCACAAGTAATCGAGTATCCATACAGTAAAGTTTTAACAATTATTGCCGCCCAGAAAAATGATGGCTGAGAAGCAAGTGCCCTTGTGAAATGGCTGCCCCTGCCACTTCGCATTGCTTCTGGCGCCCCTGCAAATACACCTTTTTAGTATAAACCTGTTTGGTCCAAATTCTGAACAATTACTAGTCTACCAGTGTGGAAAGTTTGCGCACGCGGCGGAGATATGGCGGCGGCAATTTTGATGCTTTCTATATCTTTACTATTACATTTTTTAAATTTCTGGCGTGCAATTTCCAAACTTTGCAGTCAGGCTAGTCTATGTAAACAAATGTATGCCATATGTACGCCAAATTTGTGTGTGTAGACAGTATACCTAACTATCCCCCATAAGTCCCAGTGTACACACTTTACATTCCAGTCTGGGGAAGCTTAGTTGGGACTGGTTAGCTGCCACTGGTTGTAGATTACAAGAAAGTCGGTCCCAGATTGTCCGAAAACCACCCAGCAATTTATTGAAATATGTGCATCCCTGGGGAGTAAATCCATTTACAGAGTCAAATCCGAGCCCGAGTCAGTCCCGAGCCCGAGTCAGTCCCGAGCCCGAGTCAATTAAATGCTGAGTCGCGTAAAAAAAGGACGAAAGTGAAGTCGAATAGGGTTAGGATCGAGTAGGTTTAGGGTACTAACTAAAGTCATTTTATCGACAAAGACAGTTAAACAGTGACTCGGACATTTGACTCGAACTTGGATTTGAGTCAGTCAGTAACCGACAAACTCCAAAATTGAATAAAATTCACAGTTGAATAGGGTTAGGGTAAGTTAGGAGTGGGATTATGGTTAGGGTACTAAGTCATTGAACTGCAAAGACCATTGATTAAACAATGACTCGGACATTTGACTCGGGCTCGGATTTGACTCGGACTCAGATTTGACTTGGTTAACCTGTCACAGTGATATGAGTATCCCCGTCTTTTGTGTATCCCCTACTAATATCACTAGGGATATGTGTATCCCCATGCTCACCTCACTAGGGATATGTGTATCCCCAGCAATATGACGGTCGTGTTCTGCATATCCCTAAAGAACCACCCTACAATGCCTACATTCCCACATCACTAAGGATACAGGTATCCCTGACATTTCGCGGGAAACAAAATTGGCAGGAAACTTAATTTATTAATTTATTCACAATGGATGCAATTAAATATGGTAATCTACTGGGATATGTGAAAAACCAAGTGTATCCATCGAATTTTACAAAGCAAGAAAAAGCGATATTGTGCAGATTTGCAAAAAAAATTGAAGTTGACACGAATTCAAACTTGTTTTATCTCGATAAAACAAAAGAAGGGACATTAAATAGAAGACTTGTCATTCGAGAAGATGAGAGACAGAAAGTTTTCGAAGAATGTCATTCTGCCCTCGATTCTGCCCCTTTTGCAGGTCACTGTGGAAGGGATAATACGATTAACAAGATTCAAAAGCGCTATTACTGACCAGATTACTACAAAGAAACAGTTGAAATGGTGAGTACATAGAAACAGCAGCTTATTCTTTATTTAATAACAATAAAAACGCCAGTTGGGCTTAATAAAAGTTCCTGTTATTGCTCAATCAAGCTGAAAGCTGCTACAAAAATAAAGGCACAGATAAATGACTTTCCTCCTACTCATATTTTGAATATTACATACTTTCGCTTCTAGTGTTGTAGGTATCCCCACCGGGGGTACTTTTATCCCTAGGGATATTAGTGTGGGGATACTAAATCCACGGGGATGTTCGTATCACTGTGACACCGACAAACTCCATCTCTGGGCAGGCTCACTGACTCCCACAGTCGTGACAGCTAAAATTGTCTCATGAAAGAACAAAAATAAACTTCTTACAATAATTTCATAAAATAATTACCTACCTGTATTATGTGTACTAACACAAAGTTTTGTAGTTTTAACATTTCCTGAAGAAAGTAAGAAACACAATTTAATATCATCTGCAAGACTGCAACCCAGTTCACTGCTGCAACTACATGTATACCGTAAGACCATATGAAGTACTTTGGTGGTACAACTACTTTTATCCGCTGGTCTCAACATTGGGGCGCAAATCTCCAAATTTGGCGAAACTGAAGCCCCGGATGTAGAAAAATCATTGAATAAAGGAGTGCTTTGTGTGGCTTTGTAGTTTGTATTGAATTTATAAAAACAAAATTGAAATTGTTGAGTAAGGCTTTCTCTTGGCTGAATAAGGAGTATTGGTTTAGAGAATTGCGTTGGTAATAAAGAAGACAAGTTGGTTAAACTGCAAGTGCTGACTGGTGAGTAGGAAATGAGCGAAGATTTTGATTTTAGTGACGCGGAGGATTCTGCACCGGAATCAGACACATGGGATGAAACATTTTCTAAACTTATAAGTACTAGTTTGGATATGTTGACTGAACAAACAAGTGAAAATTCCTTTACCTGTGATGTATGTAAAGCGAAATTTTCGTCGCAACAAGCCTTGACCGTTCATCTCAAGTCACACGCAGAATCAGCTCAGTGTACTGATAACGTGTGCTTCGAATGTGATGTTTGTATGAAGGTATTCTCCACCTCAAGCGAATTGCAAGGTCACAAGAAGAACCACACCACCGAGTTCCAATGTACTGTTTGTAAAGAGTCTTTTTCTTCACAAGATAGCTTAGATGCCCACATGAAAAACCAATGTAAAGGTAGCAATTCTTTCAAGTGTTCTACATGTGGGAAGAGTTTCTCTAGGGCATGTGACTTAAAAATTCACACAACTAAAGCACATGCTGGTGAAGGAAGCCATCAATGTGATATTTGTGAGAAAAAATTTTTGTCGCCAACTAATTTGGTGCAACACAAAAAGGTGCATACCCGACCACACAAATGTGATATTTGTCAAAAGGGCTTTGCTAGATCAAAGGATTTAAAAACTCATAAAAACACACATTCCAAGAAAAAGCAATTCAAGTGTAAAGGGTGTAACGAACATTTTGTCTCGCAAGATATGCTACGTTCCCATTGCATTAATAAACCTGAATGTAAAGATAAATCTTTGAAATGTGTTGCATGTGAGGTGATATTTTCTACATTTGATGAATTGGACAGCCATATGAAGGCACATGAAACTAATCGTGACAGATGCTATCAATGTGATTTGTGCAAAAAATCATTTTTCAAACCCAGCCATTTGGTTTCACACAAGAAAGTACATTCAGGAGTCCGCCCTTATAAATGTGGTGTTTGTGAAAAAGGATTTTCTCGATCAAATGATTTGATGTATCATCTAAGAGTTCACTCTGGAGACAAGCCTTTTAAATGTGATAATGATGGCTGTGATGCAGCATTTTACCGGGCAAGTGATTTAAAATATCATAAAAACATGCATTCTGATAACAATCCAAACACATGTGACATTTGTCAAAAAACGTTTCCCAGAGCACAAGATCTAGTCGTTCATAAGAGGAAGCACACTGGAGAAAAACCTTATAAATGTGATATTTGTCAGACAGGATTTGGACGTCGCAGTGACATGAAATATCACAAAGCAACCCAGCATGCTGACCCAAATCAAGAAAAATCTCATAAATGCGATCTCTGCGACAAAGCATATATTACTGCTAAGATTCTTGCACATCACAAAAAAACACATGGTGTAGATAAACCTTACGGTTGTGATGCATGTGATAAGACATTCCTGACACCAAGCCGTCTTGCTGCTCATAAACGAACACATACCGGGGAAAAACCACACCAATGTGACGTATGTCAAAAAGCATTTGGAAGGTCACATGACTTGCTTATTCACAAACGCATGCATACAGGAGAAAGACCTTATCAATGTGACACATGTAACAAGGCCTTTTCCAAGTCAACTCAGTTGATGTATCATAAAAGATTGCATACTGGTGAAAACCTGCATGAATGTGATGTATGTGGAAAGAAGTTTTACAAACCTGGTCTTTTGAGGTCACATAAGACAATACACACTGGAGAAAAGCCCCACAAATGTGACATCTGTAACAAGGGATTCTTAAGAGCACATGATTTAGTTCATCATAAACGTACCCATACTGGAGAACGACCTTATCAATGTGATGTTTGTAACAAAGCATTTATCAAGTCAACCATGCTAATGTACCATAAACGAACACATACTGGGGACAACCCTCACAAATGTGATATTTGTGAGAAGGTATTTACGATTCCATCAAACTTAGCTGCACATAAAAGAATGCACAATAATGAAAAGCCTTTTGAGTGTGACATTTGCAAAAAGACTTTTTTTAAAAGATGGGACATGAATTTCCACAAAAGATCACATCTGAAAGTTAAGCCCCACCAATGTGATTCCTGTGAAAAATCATTTTCAAAAGCAAGTGACTTAATGTACCACACACGTACACACACTGGAATACGACCACACAAATGTGATCTTTGTGAAAAGGCTTTCACCAAACCTTCCCAACTTGTAAGTCATAAACGAACACATACTGGGGAGAAACCTCATCAGTGTGATATTTGTGAGAAACGATTTTTAAGGTCAAATGATTTGAAATACCATAAGAAGACTCATTCTGTTGAAAGACCATACAGTTGTGAAACATGTCGAAAAGGTTTTCGTGATCAGAAATCATTGCTGCGTCATACAAAGAGAATGCATCAAAGTAATAAAGTCAAAGAGTACAGATGTTCAACATGTGAAAAAGAGTTTCCTAGTGCTGGTGAGTTGCGGCTTCATGGAAAAGTTCACAAGAATGACAAGCGGTATAAATGTGATCAGTGTGACAAGGCTTATACCAGAACTAGTGATTTAACAATTCATAAAAGATCGCATACTGGAGAAAGGCCTTTTAAATGTGATCTCTGTGAGAAAGCATTCCCAAAAGCAAGTAACCTTGTCGAGCATAAGAAAATACATTCTGCCCTAAAATTTGAGTGCAACGTTTGCAACAAGAAGTTCCGTTTTGCCAAAACCATGAAAAAGCACAAGTGTAAGAATGCTAATAGTGAGTTAGGAACTTGCAGTGATCCAACTGAAATCCAATTTGTTTGTTCTCAATGTGGGAGCAGTTTTGACTCAAACAAGAAATTGGACAATCACATGAAAAAGTTTCATCCCTGACATTAACATAATACAAGGGGTACTGTATATAGTAGTTACAATATTGTTCAGTTATTCAGTGATATACTCTAATACCAGTGGTGTAGCCACTGGGGGAAATGCACAGAAACATATGAATGAGTGTAGAAGTTTGGAGTTCTGTTCTCACTTCATCTAAAAATATATAACTTAAATTGCCTTCTTTTAGGCTGTGGGCCGTTGGCTAAACTTATTTCGCTTTGTGGCAACTCCCTGGGGAATAGATTTTCTGTGGTTCAATGCATAGTACCATAGATGCTCAATTACCACAAAAAGTTCCCAAGCAAAAAAAACTTGCCAAGCACTGAGAAAATCGGTGATCAATGATTATTCTCTATTAAAATGTACTACAGCAAGAAAACGTGAAATTTTGTATTCAATTACAACAAAAATGACTTGCATCATCAGAAAGCCTAGGTTCAATTCATAGTACCATAGATGCTCAATTACCACAAAAAGTTCCCAAGCAAAAAACTTGCCAAACAACGAGAAAACGGGTGATCAGTGATTATCCTCTATTATATTGTATTACAGCAAAAAAATGTGACATTTTGTATTCAATTACTTGCATCACCAGAAAGCTTACAAAAATCTACATATAAGACATTTAAACAGTTTTTTTTATATCTCAAATTGTTTTCGAGTTCTACGCTGTCAAAAACGCGTTTTTGACCTAGTACTCAGTGATTATTGTGAAATTTTGGTCCAATTTTCACATTTAAAACAGCAATAACTCAAAGACTATTTGAATGATCAAAAAAAATCTTATATGCGGTTTTTCGTACAGAAAATCTATTCCCCAGGGGGTTGTCACGAAATTGCTTTTCTAAGCACTTTTTCGCACAACGGCCCACGGCCTATTTGGGAACTAGGCGTGAGGGTTTTCTTGAGAACTGGTCTTATTAGTAAAATCTGTCAAAAAGACCACAAATTTTACGTCTGACTAAATCAAGGAACACGTTAGAATGAGATTTGTTTTATTTTCCTCGAAAAATAAGAAAGAAAGAAATGGTTTGGGTGCCCGTTCTTTCATAATACCGACAGTTATCCGAGTACTCTCCGAAGGATACGCGAAGGCGATTTACTTCCTAACCTCAATTATTTTTATCATCTCATTCTTAAAGGGAAATGGAAATATAAATTTTTATTTTCTCGTTTGAAAGAACTTTTAACATATTAATTTATTTAACCATATTAACTTTTTTTACGTTTTAACTTATTTTACCTATTTTTCATATCTTGCATAGTTCCTGAAATGTTTTCACTTGAAGCATACTTAATAGAGGAGATGTACGCCATCTTGAATAAATTTTTGATCTCATTAACGGTAGTTTTGGTGACGTCACAACAGTGATTAACCATATAAAAGTATTCGTTGCTGACCAAATATTGATTGGTAGATGTTTTAAGGTTTTGAGTATAGAGTGCAAAATGGTTAGTGGTTGTCAAGATAAAAATATTGCGTGACGGCCAAGTGAGTAGCAGGCAACGGGCGGGATTCGGGCGGGGGCGGGTTGAGAACGGGATTCGGGCGGTTGCGGGTTGAGAAATGAAATTTCTCTCAACCCGAATCCCGCCCTTTACTACTTACTTGACCAGCCAAAAAAGCCTCTGCGGAGGAGAGTGTTGCGTGACCCCTGTTGTGACGTTCATGTATATCTACAAAAATTGAAGATGGCGGCCATTTCGTCATTTCATTCCTTTCGATCGAACTATTTGTAGAAGTAACTTTAGGGCATGTTACATGGTGCAATTTTTCTTGCAACGTGCAATGCAATTCTACTCTTGAGAGATGTTAATTAGTGAAATCAGTGAAGAATTTTCGATATGTTGAGAAAACGTCAGCGGAGTGTAATGAAGACTCGTATTTGGCAATTTTACATCTCTCAAGAGTAGAATTGCATTGCAAGTTGCAAGAAAAATTGCACCGTGTATGTACACAATTGAACACAAAAATTGTACACAAGATATGATAAAACGGTAAAAGCGTTTTTATATAGTCCTAAAAGTTTCTTCAAATTAAAAGAGAAAATAAAAAAATATATTGCCATTTCCTTTAAGAACTTCTGAAATGATATAATAACTTATTTTGAAGATTTTCGTTTGCTCATGTTGTTTCTGAAATATTTCAGTAGAAGCTTGTATATCGTATTCACCATAGTATTGAGTTTAATTCATTAGAATAAAGTTTGGAGTTGTAGGAGGATTACATACATATGTAATACACATTTTAATAGCCTATTTATGATATTTCATGATATTTAACTGTATACCTTTGTCTTTGATCAGTCATTCATATGTGACGTTGAAAAATTGTCTACTTTTTTCTGATACACCCTGCATATATATATATCTATTTATCTATAAAAATATCTATATATATATCTATCTATCATATATCTATCTATCTATCTATCTATCTATCTATCTATCTATCTATCTATCTATCTATCTATCTATCTATCTATCTATCTATATATATATATATATATATATACATAGATAGATAGATAGATAGATAGATAGATAGATAGATAGATAGATAGATAGATAGATAGATAGATAGATAGATAGATAGATAGATAGATAGATAGATACCTTGCTCTCACCACAGTTAATAAATATTTTATTAACTGTGCTCTCACCAAGGCATGTGGTACAACACGGTGACTCAACGCACCCAGACATGCGCAGAGCGTAATGGGGCCAGAGTGCTCAAACGACCACAAGGGAAGTGAGCTTTGCATTATCGCTAATAGACACCCATCGCTAATAGACACTCCGCAGAGTGCTCAACAACACTGAGGTGAAGGAGCGTAATAGTACAATCTGCAGACATGAATGTTTCGGCGTTCTACGCCTCGTCAGTGCAGTTTGGTACACGTCTAGAAACGTGAGACATTCGTATTTATATCACAGAGTAGTAGAGACATACAGAGACGTAACTGACCGTTGTAAACACTGCGGAAGCTTACGTTTTCATGTACCCACTTTTTTTCAGGCGACCGGGCAAAAAATGATCAACTGCGCGTGCTCAGCAAGTTTAAAGTGAGTCGTCATCAGGTCGTCATCCAATCAGATGCATGCATCTAGTGACTTGCCGAGCATGCGCACAAAAAAGGTGGGTACACTAGTTACGTTTCTGTATGTCTCTACTCTGTGTAGAGCTTGAACTTGCTCTCATTAGTCTGCCAGACTAATAGCTGGCTTTACGCATTGAAGGACTAACCTCCGAAATGCAACTAACATAACTTAACAAGGCGTTCTCAGCTTGACCTTGTAGCTCAGACGGTAGAGCATCGTTCTAGAAATGCGAAGGTCGCAGGTTCGAATCCCAGCCGGGGTCAAGTAGAATTTTCTGCTTGCCCGGTTTGGTATACACTCGTCTGAAAACAACTGAAAAACCACTACATACATATATATATATATATATATATATATATATATATATATATATATATATATATATATATATATATATATATATATATATATATATATATATACCTCGCTGATATCCTCAAACCTCTGTTGAGTACATCACCACACTCTGTTAAGAATGTTGACGCCTTTCTGTCGCGCGAAAGTAAAAGACGTCCACGTTGAACCTGATGAAATCTTGATTTCCTTTGATGTTGTCTCTTTGTTCACTTCCATCCCACTTGACACTGCACGACTAATAACTGAAAAACTACTTACTAACAATACTTCGTGGCAAACAAAGACAGAACTTAATATACAAGACATTCTTGATTTACTTGACCTATGCCTTTCAACTGAATTCTGCTTCCAGAACAATATATATATATATATATATATATATATATATATATATATATATATATATATATATATATATATAT